GTCTCTAAGACAGGGTGGTTCACTGTTATGTGACTACCACAAAACATAGCCCTTTACAGACTGAATTTTAAAAATCAAAATAACTTCCCTACTGTTTGTAATATGTATCCCCTTGATAGTTCACTATGTATAACAACAGGCTACACACTGGCTGACAAAGGAATGGGGGGTTAAATTCCCAGCAAGAATAAGAGATTTTCCTCTCCTCCACAGTGCCTAGACTGGCCCTGGTATCCACGCAGCCTGCTAGCCAATGGGTGTCAGGGACTCTTTCCCTGGGTGTAAAGCAGCCAACCACACCTCAGTCTAGTGGTGAGGTTAAAAAGGCATGGATCCAGATCTTCACTCCCTATATGTTATCAAGATCTGGTGCCTTACTGATTTAGCACAAAGATAAATTTACTTCTACCATATCTGAAGGCAGTCAGCTGTGTCAATATGGAAAGGATTTGCATCTTGACATGGCTGATAGCCCATGAAAGATTCAATGTATTTACTTGCCATTAAAGCTTCAAACCATATTTATCTTAATGTTAGAGCTTCAGAGCTGAAACACATAAAACAAACTACATATATCTGATGAATAAAAGCATTCTTTGGAACGTTTTCCAAGACTTCCTGCAACTGTTTAGTCCCAGATGACCCAGATATATCCCTCTGACCTTCAGGCAGATCCATCGATGGCAAAACGTTCAGCTTGCCAGATTACGAGACTGAGTAAATAATTTGTTTATTTTCTTTTAATTTCATGGAGTAGGGTGAGGCTGAGTCCACTTGGTACACTGGCCACTAATTGGCCTATTGTATCAGCCCTGGATGATAGATTATGGGACGTTTGGTAGAATGAGAATTGGCAGGGGAAACCGAAGTACTTGAAGAAAACCTGCCCCAGTGCCATTTTGTCCACCAAAAATCTCATGTGACCTGACCTGGAATCGAACCTGGGTCACCTAAGTGGGAAACCAGTGACTAACCCTGCCTGAGCTCTTGCACTGATTGTATTGAATAAATGAAATGGAAATGTATAGAAGTACTCATGGCCTTTGAGGGATTTGGGCCAATTACCCATGGAAGAGAATATCCTATATCAGAGACAGACAAAGAATTCTTGTGGATTATCTGCCACTCTTCCTAACTTATTTTCATGTGCTTCCCTTACTCTATCCCAATTCTTCCACTCCTATTGGCTGGATAATGCATTCTACACTAGTATTCACCGAAACAGTTTATAAAAGTCTGGGAACTAATATGGATAACTCGTGTTTCATAGAAATTTAGTCAGTTATCACTGACAACAAGAAAATGCAAACAAAGTAAAGAATTGCTGTCCCATTTCTTGTGATCAGTTTATATATTTGTCATATTTTATATTCTGCGGTGTGGCAATTGCTTCAAATAAATAAAAAGAAATATTTTCACCTTTTCAAGTTTAAAAATTTAGGAATATTTTGCAGCTAATTTTCTTATATTTTAAAGCTGGTGCCCAAGATCAGCTTTCAGACTTCAGCTACATCAATCACCAATCATATACATTTTGTAAATAGTTAAAAATCTTAAAATATCCAATAGAAAACCAAATGTGCAATGTGTCTGCAGAGTACCAAGTGCATATTAAGTATAGGCAGCTTCAAGTTTGAGCATATATCTGCATCCCAGTCACAAAAATATTTTTTTCTTCAATTTCTGACATCAGACTGAACACTCATTTCGTGTGATGTGTGACATTCACTGCAGTAACCAGGAAGGAAGACATATCTTCAAAGCTGGAATCTATACAGTTGATCATCATACAATTTTATAACTAAAAGTGTGGAAAATAATTACAAGTGCTCAGCCAGTATGATTAAGTTTTTATTTCACAATCTAATTCCTTACAGTCCATTTTAATATTATTCTCCCACCTTCTCTTTCTATTCCTCCTCGGTTTTCTGAGTTCTCCAAGAAGCTGTGAATAAAGGGTAAACTTCATGTTTACCCTCTCTGAGTGACACGTCCAACCAATCATAATTTTCTGAGTTTGCTATGTAAATTATGTTCTCCATTATGTCATACCTTCCCTCTCTCACTTACCTATCTGTTCTATGTTCAAATGTTATTCAGAATCCCCAAACTTATATTCATCTTTAAAAGCAAGAGGCCATGGTTTACAATTGTATGAAGCAATTAGCACAATATCTGATTTATGTATCATAAAATTTAGTGTTTTGATAAGAAAATAAAAGGATGACAGTGTCTGATCTAAAAAATAACAAGAATTTCCTGAATTTGTTTTGCTCATAATTTTATCATGAACCTCATTTTTATATGTCACTGTCATTTCTGCTATTTACATTTTGCATGTATAATATGTACCTGTAAAGTATGCATTCAACTGAAAAGTAGTATATACAATTATGTTAAACACAATCAGTGACGGTCTTGACTTTTAGTTCCATCAAACTACGCATTCATACACAAATTATTGCAAAGGGAAAACTAACACAGTCAAGCAAGCCACAAGGATGCAGACCTTTTATGGATTTCTCTGTTGCAGTACACAGAATCTAATTGAGAAGCTAAGAGTACTACACACCATACATACACATTTTCATTTACCATTAGGTGCACAAAAAGAATTACGTCTAATCCTTTACTTAATTAAAAAATAACATAAAAATACAGCTAAATACTAGTGCAAGAATTACATTACACTTTTCATCAGTACACCACAAAGCTTCATACTAAGCTATATCTAAATATCTGTATGGTAATCTGTTCAGAGAACAGAGGTATTATAATATCAGATGAAGTTCTCTTAGCAATGATAATGAAGAATATGGGTGTTTGGGATGTGACACAGTATAGTTTGGCAGGGAAGTATCAACAGTTTGGAGGAACTTGCTACCTCCATCTTCTCAGAAGAGGAGAGGGGGGAAAGAGATGACATATTGTAAAAGTCAAATATATGACAAAAATAAATATATAATAACATGAAGCCTGTTGAAATTTCAAAAGGAAACTGTTACAATCAAAAGAAAAAGTTAATCAAAAATACCTAACCTCAATAATCTGAAATGTCCTCAAAAGAGAGCTACATTTATATTAAAAAAAAAATAAACTTGACAGAATTAGTGGTGGTGCTATTTAGGAGGAATGTTTTTGTGGTTGTGTATAAAACATATTTTCTCAAGTCCAATTATGCAACACTGTTCATTGCCAATAAAATGTAATTAACATGGGAATAAAAATACATAATAACTTACCCTTGAAACTAAGAAGAATAGAAAATTTTAAGGTTTTCAAAATAACTTAAAAAGTTCTTTATTATGAAACCGTTTTCATTCTCTACAAGAATTTTCTTTAGTAACAAGGATAGATGGTAGTTCAGTAACTTGATTTGGTCTTGATATGATATGGAAGTATATAGATGATCTTTGGTCTGCTATCTTCACTAAACATGTGGTGATGGTTTGTTTTACACGGCTGTTTTGTGTTTTTGGTTGTTTAAATAGATTTATTGCTTTGTATTACCATGGTTGGTAAGATACAGCAAAGGGTTGTATTATTTATTGTTTTCCACATTTTTAAGAGTTGTTGACATGTAGTGTATGGCATTCTAAACTTACTTGTCCATTTGTGTCTGTATAACAATTATGGAAGTTAAATAAATTATCATTAATTAATATACTTGCACACTGTGCTGAGTGATTTCAAATGGCACAAATGGGTAGAACTTTAAAAATAAACTACTCCCATCTCCAGCTACAGTTCCCATAGATAATTACTCCAGTGATCCACTACTGTGTATATTAAATCACAATTTCACTGAATATATATGCTACCAAGAATGAAAATTTATTTTTGGCAGAGGTCGAGATCATACTGTCCAATAAAACATAGACAGATCTAACTGCCACCTGGCAGTCCTATCTGCAACTACTAACAACACTGACTTCAACATATGGACAAAGAAACACAAATTTCCAAGCATTTGTTTTTTGTATATGTGGAGGGATGTAATATTACTTCACTGTACCATTCAAATAATAAAAATAACATAATCAGATGCAATTCAGAAGTGGTCAATATTTCTCCTAAGAAACTTCAATTTTTTATATCCACAAAACAAATTCCTCCTCACTGGTACTGAGCTTTCTGCCCAACATCCATAATACAGAGTTCTATTAGCATCTGGATAAAAACATAATTTTTGTGCAATTTGAATAAAGTGAAACTATAATGTCTAAGTCTTGTTTTCTGTCAGTTGGTGTGTTTTATCTTATCAAATATTTAACAGATTACAATGAAATTTCATATTTGTGATCTGTACTATAAGTAATTTCACTTCGGTCTGTATCAGACCATTATAATCCAAATATCTGTGGAGCTCAAATCAAACTATGAAACCTCTAAAAGCCTCTTCATATAGAACTTCTCTCATGAAATAAAATAAACGTCCCATTAAGGGTTAAAAGTTTATCCAAAATATTTTTCAAATTCAGGTATATTTGATGAAAGATTACAAAGAAAAATCATTTATGCCTCCAAGAAGTGCAATATATGTAACTGTTGATGAGCTTTTGAAACAACTGATTTGCATCTACAACAAATAAAGCCCATGTTCAAAATAATTTAACCAACATCCCTCTTCCTAATACTGTCCAAGGCAGGAATGGAATGTTTAGAAATCCAAGAGAAACCTATTTTTGTGGGAAGTTCTCTGGGCAAATGTCTAAAGTTGCCTACATATTGACACATTTGGTTTAAAATATTAAAAACAAAACATAAACAAAATAAACATAAATACTCTAATCCATTTATGAAAAAGAAACCTAAGCACTAATGCATAAGGAAACTAAGTGAAACCAATAGCTTGTACCAAGCAATTACCACACTACATCATATTAATTTATATCTATATACATCAGTGGTTGTCATTACAGTGCAGAGCAGTACAGCTTGAACTCCAAGCCCCTATCTATAAGCCAATAGCTGTATTCATTTTGCTGCAGATGTTTTACCTGCCCCATATGCGTACCCTCTCCATGGAGTATAAGGCAGCTGCACAGATGGGTTTATTGAGTAGATCTGGCCTATAAGAGTAATAATACACATATAATTTGTTCCATTGAATTAACTGGATAGTACCACAGTTGTGAGCAAACTAGTCTATTTAGAAATCTGAAAACAAAGAAACAAATGCATTAGTTATCCTGCTGACAGACAAACATTTGATGAAATAGATACAGCCTGGACAGTTGATTTTTATGAAAATCACTTCATTATCTTGGAATACTCTGTCAGTGAATAGATGATTGCACAAGGCTTCAAACAAATTCAAGGCAGGAGATACAGCTACAAGGTATACCCCAGTTTGGATGAAATTTCAACATTCAGACATAATCAAACAGAGATTTGTACATTATGGTCATGAAAATGAAATGCAGTATCTAAATTAGATGTTCCAAAGAAGAGTGATGAGATTCACACAATCTGAAAACAATTCACAATAATATAAAAACAACCAAATTTATCATTTAATGTGAAAACTTACACACTAATCACAATATTTATTTGTTAATCCATTTTTAATGAATTTTAGCCCTGATCAATGTAATAAATTTTTTGGCTGGTTGAGTGAATAGGACACAGAATACTCTTGCCATCTCACACTGTGTATGCTTTCAGTTTTCTGTGATGGTGAACAAACCAGTAACCTATACACATTGCAATTTATATCACCCAGCAAATCACTGAACAGCTGCATGGAAGTGAGTTTATGTGTAATAAGCTAGCGTACTCATGAATCCTGAGCTTTTACTTCTAATAAGTTTGGCTTGTGCAATAAGCAATCAAGACTGTCATGTTAGTGCCCACATTCAAATACTATGTGTAAATTACATGTTGGAGCAACACGTTTTCATGTACCTACAAGAAAAATGATGTAAGAAAATTAAAAAGTAGATACTGGAATAAATTTCTCAATTCTATAGTTGCAAACAGAAAAATTATTCATTAAATTGTAAATAAATGACAGTTAGGCTCATTATTGTACAAAAAGGGAACTGAATCAAAATTCTGAGGGCTCACTGAAGAGAAAATGGATGAAATTGGTCCTGTGCATTAACAGATTCCTTAAAAATCCCTCAAACACAATGCTCAGGAAGCCAGGGATTCAAGGTGGTCAGCAATAACTGCCACAAAACTCAAGAAATTAAAAATCATAAGAGATAAGTTTCTGCAAAGGTGTCAAGAATGTATACATAGTAATGGTGAGCATTTAAAGCGCCTACTTTGATCTATGTAAGCCTTATCTGTAACCTTTGGAGTCTGATGCCCTATTGTCTGTCTAATGAATCTGAACATATGCATTGCAGGATGGCAAGATCAATCTGTGTTTCCCTCGCCTGACCAGCCGAAAAACTTTCAGGTGGCTCTCAGATGGCCTCCGTGTATAATGAACAGAGCAAAGATATGATAATAATAGATTTCACAGGCTGCTGACATTTCTGGCACATACTACTTCAGTTCCATATTTTTAACATATACCTCAAAATATTGTCTGTATAAGACACTATTTGCATTAACAAAGACTATTTTGGTCACCCTGGAAATAAAAAAATATAAAAGTGATGTGAAATTGTTAACCTTCCCAGCATAACTTGTTTGTCACTCCATCAAACTAAAAACTATAACTGAACAACAATATACTATAAATCAATTTACAGAGAAACATCTATCTGCAGTTGAAATGATGATCATTTATCCACTGGAGGCTGCCATATTGAACACAGTTTCATTAATTTCTAAATGTTCAAAACATCATAAATTTATTCATTCACTACCCACATGAGGGGATTTCACAGATTCAAATAAATATAACTGCTTAAAGGCCTACCTTAAAGCAGTCTTACATTCTTTATATTCCTGTGGTTTTATCATGCTCAAGACTATTTAATAATGGATCAGAGTGCTCAGAGAAAGTTCAAAGTCAAAGTTGTAATAATTTTTATAGTATAATAATTTTATAAGAAATGCTTATTTCTTTTCAAACTAGACTGTCATTAAAAATGAAACATTAAACAAGACTGATTTAGATTTGCAATTTCTTCCTCCATTTTATTATTCAATGATTCAAATTTAAGCCTTTAATAAAAACATGAGAAAAATTAATTATAACTTAAAACTTTAAAGCAGAACAACTGAAATTGTAAAACAATTGAAATATTACTTTAGAAGGAATCATGGTGCTGCTGGTTTATATATTATTCATTGGGCAGTCAGGCGTCTTGCACTCCTACACCTTTGAATAGTAACAGGTATGCAGAAAATTCTTCCTACCATAAATATGACTACATATTGGTGTTAATGTTGTTGACATATATCATGCACTTCATCTTCTCTCAACTAGAAAGTTGCTAATTATTGCTAATGATCATAACTGTGACAAGAAGAATCAAATCCTAAATATCGGTATTTCATCCTTATAGTATAGCAACATACAGAAAAAGAAATCCATGCTTACATAATTTGAATCATAACCTCAAATATACACAAATTTTGTGTTTAGACTGCAAGTTAGCTTTCTTTGCAATTTACTATTGTAGCTGGTATGCTTTATGCAATAGAAACAATCTAGTAACTATACTTTAATGTAAATCAATTGACTACAACTACAAGCAATATATATATGATAATACAATGCAGAAGAATCAAAGATATTTCAAAGGACAGATGTATTGCATGAATCTGAAGTTTCACTATATTGGTAACAATTACATTCAATACCAATGAATCAACATCTTACATGATATGTATTTAATTATGAAACAGGTCTTGTATTTGTATTGGATGTCTACTTACTATTAGAGTTTAATTACTGCTATTTTGTTTTGAAAGTAATGGCAAGGGCACACAAAGGAAATGGGCAACCGCAATGCAACTGCAATTTTCGAGAATTGTTATCAGCCTGAGTTGAACACATATTACTGTATGGAGCAATGCAAATTGAGGACTGTGTTGCCATTTCCTCAATTTGTGCTGCTCCATTCAGTAACATGTTCAAATCAGGCTGATAACAATTCTTGGAAATTGCGGTTGTGTTGCTGTTGCCAGTTTCCTTGGTGTGCCCTTGCCCCAACACTTGTGTGCATATTTTCACCCCCCCCCCTTCAACAGTTAAGTGTATTGCAGACGATGATTATTAGAATGTTCATACGTCTTTAACGGAGAGGAAGTACATGTATAATTTAAGGAACTGCATAATGATTAAGAAACCGTACAAGAACCTCTATCTGGACTACTAGCAATGGATTTTAAAAGTAGAGATATTCAGGATATGAAGGAAACCTGCTGAACTATGTAGACCTACATATATGGGAATGAGAGATTACTGATGATAAAAATAATGCATTACATAATTAGTGATGGTGAACACTGTAATTGTTCAAAATCAAAAAGGATGCTTTTAAGAGCCTGTTTCATGATTTTATCATACAAAGAGATAAGTATAAAAATTCACTTCTGTGTAATTTACAGCTGTCAAAAACAATCATAGGCCTAGTTATTTGATTCCTGCAGTATATTTCAAGTTAAGAACTGAGACCTAACTCTATAGAACTGAGTCCTTCTAGAGAAGTTAATAGTCACTGAAAAAGTCAAGAAAGTCCATCCACTTATGGATTCTGAGGGTTCACTGCTGTGTACACAGGTTCATATCCGGGACCAGATAAATCCAGTCCACAACCTCTCATCCTAATTCTCCCAGATCAATTCAAATATTATTGTCTCATCTATGCCTAGAGCTTCCAAATAGAGTCTCTCTTTTAGGTTTACCAACCAAAAGTTTGTATGTAATTCTCTTCCCTCCAATGCATGCCCTGCCCATTTCATCTACCTCAATCTGATCATTCTAACAATGAAGAATATAATAAAAGCCTTAGGGGTCATTAACTTTCTATCAAATAACTTGTACAATGTAAATTTTTCTGCTCTTATTTTGCCATGTTTGCCTGCAAGTACTTGAAAGGAGGTAGAGAAAGAAACGCACAGTCTGCTCATTGTGATAATATTTTTTGTAATGATTACAAATCTGTTTTATTTTCTTAATCAGAGTTTCACTCACTAGCAATAATATTTGCCTCGCTGTTTCCTTCGGAAGTCCCACAATGCCTGTAGCCAGTACAATAATCTCCAAAAGATTGTAAACAGATGTGCAGTATTAGTTTCTCTTTGTCAAAGTATTCAAAATGTGACTGTGTAAAGACCATGCGTGCACATCTCTTGTGGTGAGTACTGTGCCTGGTCTGCAAGTATCACTGGTCTGAAAAATTGTGAAAGGACTCTGGTGTTTATTCTGAAAATGGATAATACTCACCTTGCCAGTACCAACTGCCTACAGCCCCCACATACAGCCTATTCCCATCCTGTCAACAAACAAAATTAAGATATTAGACTTCCATTAATTAAAGATTATACAATATGCACACTCTTTAAGTTTAAAATTCAAAGTAAGTTTTTAAGCACAATATGCATGTCTTGATTTTTCTCTCTAAGAGAATAAGAATGGAGGCTCTGGGTCTCACTAGGCTTCTTATCCAATGGGTACTAGGGGCTCTTTCCCCAGGAGTAAAGTGGCAGGGGCATGAAGCTGACCACTTGTCTCAATCTAGTGTCAAGGTCAAGAAAGATGGAGCTATACCTCCACTTCTCCGCATGTCTCTATGGAATAGTGCTTAGCTAATTAAGCACAGGAACAACTTTACCTATAAGAGAAAAGAAAGGGGACCAGATGTATTTGGTGCTGGCTCAGGTATACCAAAAGGAGAAGAAAGAAAATTACAGAACAAGAGCTTAATGATTTCTATCCTGCAAGAAATATTATAAGGGTAATAAAACAAATATGGATGAACCAGGCAGGACATGCATGCATTGGGGACACAAGAAATTTGCATAAAAATATTGGCAGGAAAGCCCTAAAAGAAGAGGCCAAATGGGGGACACTGGTATAAATTGAAGCATACTGCTCATATGGATCTCTGAGAAATAGGGTCAGCTGGCCAGTATCAGTAATATGCTGTGGTGAGACAAATACATACATTTCGGTGAAAACCTCAAAGAAGAGATTGCTTGGAATACATACAGAGGATATTATTAAATAGATTTTAAGGAAATATGTTGGGAAGATAAGGAGTGGATTGCATTTGTATGAGAATTGGTAACAATGGTAGGTCTCTGTGAGCATGGTAATGAGCCTTTATCCTCTCGGACATTTCTTAGACAAGTGAATAAATATCAACTGAGATTTGACGGATTAAGATTGCAGCATTCTGGTGTGTGACACCATATAGTTTGCTACATAGATATCCTGACACTGCACAGTTTGGTAAAGTAAAAAATTAAAGTAAAACTATCCCTGTAACAGGCCGTGAAGGCCCATAGGGTTGTGAGACGTTGAGGGTCCCACATTATCTAGACAATCAGCTCACAGATGGCGGTAGGGTTGTCAGCCTTACATGCCGGTCGCGCTTTACTCCCCAGGATATTTATTTAATTAATTCCTGGTATTCATTTCTGTTGGGGTGCGTGGTAGCGTAGTGGTTAAGGTACTATGCTACAAGCCGGAAGGTCACGGATTCAAGTCCCAATGAGGTCATTGGATTTTTTCAATTGACCTAATCCTTCTGGCCGCACTAGGCCCTGGGGTTTACTCAGCCTCTAACAGAAAAGGAGTACCAGGAATTAATTAAATGATTTTCCTGGGGAGTGAAGCGCGGCCGGCGCGTAAGGCTGACAACCTTACCGCCATCTTTGAGCCGATTGTCAAGGTAATGTGGGACCCTTAACGTCTCACAACCCTATTGGCCTTCATGGCCTGTTACAGGGATAGCTTTTTACTTTTACTCATCCTCTTAGAGGCTGAGTCGACCCCAGGGTCATAGTGCAGCTGGAAGGATTAGGTCAATTGAAAAAAATCCAATGACCTCATCGGGACTTGAACTCACGACCTTCCGTCTTGTAGCATAGTGCCTCAAGCAACTATGCTACCGCGTGCCCCCGCACAGTTTGGTAGTTACACATGTCAAAGTACACTGCATCATATCTAAGAAGATCATAAACTACAAAATGTTCAAGGATGATTCTGTATCATGAACTTATTCAGTTCATCAGTTATTCATGCCTCCACTTGGGATATTACCATAACATGGGGAGGAGATTTGAATTCAGTGAGTACCTGTGGAGCTAGAGGAGGTGTAAAATCCCAGTAGGGCCACCCTTGCAACACAGGTCAAGAGACAAAAGGCAGGCACTTAGTCCTCCTGGTTGGGAATTACGTGTGAAGCTAACCATCTCAAGTTGTGCAGCAATGTATGTTAGAGTATCTAGTGACAGAGATATTGGATGAAAAGTGTAAGAAAATAACTAAGGAAAATGAGTTATATCTTTCTGCTTAGAATGTGCTCAGTTTATTCAGGGCAGAGGCCTTAAAATTATTTTTATTTGATCGTCCTTTCTATACATTGAATGAGTTTCTTCAACAGGGACATGAGGAAACATAGCAAGGTTTTTTAATCAACAAAAAAAGAGAAGAAAGGGGAATTGTAGTAGTTATTGTTATATTTTTAAAATTCTTAGTGATGTTGTAAGGCAAGTACAGTTTTATTTTTAGTCTAATAGTCGTACATTCTAGGATTATAGAGCTTTTAACAATGATGTATTTAGTGAGTTGACTTGTTCAAGTGTTGCAGTTGTAACAGTATGAATGCAAATAAATATGAATATGAATAAGACACTTAACAATTATATCAGATAAATGACTATGAACATTTATGAAAGTAAATCAGAAGGTAGACAGAAGTCGGGAAGGCCCAAGTTGAGAGAGCAGGACAATGTATGAATGATTTACTCGTACAAGAGCAGAAAGTGAAGAGATAAGGGACAAAGGCACATAATAATAAAGAAGAATCAGCACCTATTATGAAAGAGGTTAAGATTCTTAAGGAACCACAAAGCCAAGGCAGAAGACCTAAAGAAAGGAGAATGAACCATGGCCTGCTTGAAGAAGGGAGTATGCAGGGCTGTAGTCTGAAAGTGATAGGCTGGTGCTCCAGCACTTAAAAATACACTGAAGCACTGCCTGGGGCACCCTGGAAGTAAGTAAATATACTAAAAACATTACCACCAGTAAAGGTACAATAGGATATATGGAGGATTTAAGACCACAGAAACTGTTTCCAAGACTAATTATACTGTCATATTATTATCTCTGTATTAATATATTATTATTATTATTATTATTATTATTATTATTATTATCATTTATTATAANATGGATGAAATAAAATTGAATTGAATTGAATATTCATGTTAGAAAGTTATCAGATCTGGACATAAATTGACAGGAGTGTTACAGAAATTTTGAGGGCTGTGGAAGGAACAGATCATGAACCATTTTTAAAGCGCTAACTCACAATTTACTTGGGGAGACTGAGGAAATGGACAGAAACTTCAGTTTAGATTATACAGAGTTGCCAAATGGTGTACTCTGAGATTCTGCATCCTCAGTGCATGTTCATGTTCACTTATTGCAGATATAAATGCTACTGACAGAACTATGTCACAATACAGATTAGGACTAAATAGTGTCCTAAGATTTTTCTTCCAATAAGTAGATTGTCCTAGAGTTTTGATTCTCATGCTTTCCCTCGCTCCCAAGTTATGAAGAAGGAGGAGGAGGAGGAGGAGAAGTGTATGTGAGGAATCACAGGATCCTACTGCACTTCGTATCACATGTTAAGCTGAGGTTTCCATCTGCAGACCATAATAGTAGGGGTGTGAAGGAGGTTATTTCATCATGCTACAAGCAGCTAGAATACATAACTTTGAATGGCAGGGCTGATGAACGATGAACTGGAAAGGATTTGGATGGAAGCAGTCATGGTCCAACCGAGATAGGCTTACTGTCCTGAAATTTTCCTTGAGGGGCTAAGGAAAACAACAGAAAACCTCAGCCAGGAAAGCCAATATCCATGCCAAAATTAGAAGCGAACGGCTCCCAAATACATGTCTAGGGCATTACTGCTAAGACAAATCTCCACATTAGTATTATATTCACTATAACCCTATCATCAGGGGGAAACTGGAAATTCCACTCAAAAAGTGTTTCAAGCCATAATGTGTATATATTAACCATCTTTTAGTGCATACAATTTCACTTGTCACTTCACACTACATGTTTTGGCATCATTCTGCCATCCTCAGGTGTATTAGTCACGTTAAACCATTGCACTGCCTGCCATCAAGTGTCCGTTTATAAAATGATATAAAATGTGTGTTCGTCGTTGTTCAATAATAAAATTTATGTATTAAAACTTGTTAAGATCTATCATCTTATTACTGAACAATGACAAACACACATTTTATATCATTTTATAAATGGACACTTGATGGCAGGCAGTGTAATGGTTTAACATGATTAATACACATGAGGATAGCAGAATGATGCCGAAACATGTAGTGTGAAGTGACAAGTGAAACTGTATGCCCTAAAAGACGGTTAATATATACACATTATGGATATGAATCAGTGCAACAGGACGCTAAAATACAACATTATTAAGAGCTTCACTTTAAAAGGAAAACATGTCGTACATTCACACCAACAACCTAGGTAGATGGGCAGGCTAGAATATTCACAAGGCTGTAACTGGAAGCATAAGCTGCAAACACAGGAACAAGAAAACTGGCACTGAATCACCATTCCCTCCCTATAAATGGTGGATGTACTGACCACGCCATTTTGTCTTTCTGGGGATCACATGCCGTGATTTTCATTCAAGAGGGAAATGGTAATAATCTTCATTTTACTTGTGTATTTGCGCAGTATTAAGCAAGATAACTTTCTGACCTATTTATTAATCATTACACACTAATTCATCTCATAATCTACTAAATAAGTATGGCGTTCAGAGTACCACATGCTACAACATGCGACAGTCTAGTGCAGTGGTTCTCAACCTTTGTGAGACCGCGGCCCGGCGGTTGAGAAACACTGGTCTACACTCAGCTGCCTGCGTGTTGAATATGCGCTGAAGACGCAAGAGGTGGTGGACGTATCGCTCAACCATTCTTAATCTTGGCACTGGATGGAGATGAGTAATTAGCTTCACACTCCGGCTGCTTTACCTCAGGGCAAAAAGCCCTCGATACCCATTAGGTTGGAGGCTGAGTCCCGGGGTCAGTCTCGACCTTATGGAGAAGAGAAAGGTATCTTGCCTATGCCAGAAAATGAACCCCAGTTCCTTGGTGTCAAGTCTGTTGCCTGTAGCTACACTGAGCTATCCCTGCTCACGCTAATAAAAACAAGAAGTTCTGGGGCAACTAATCGTCCACTTTCCTTTGATATGATACGGACCGAACAGAAAAT